TAGTGTAGGTGGGAGTGAAGAAATTAACATGCTGGGATACCACCGATGACAGTATAACTAGTAACAGCCTTTTTGGAGGATTTGGCATAACCCATAAAGGAAGTCAAAAAAGTTGTCAGGATAGTTTCTTCCAAAAAAAAAAATGAACTGTATTGGCACATGCCTGTAATCTCAGCTCTCAGGAGGAGAGGAAGATCACCACAAATTAGAGGCCAGCCTAAACTATGTAATGAGACCTTGTCTCAGAAAACTGGGGTGGGCATGGAGAGATAAGCGTATAAAATTTCTAGTCCTTATAATTTGGTGGGGGGGCTGGGGATTTAGCTCAGCCGCATAAGCACCTGCCTTGCAAGCAGGTGGTCGTGAGTTCGATCTCTGGTACCAATAAAAAGAAAAAAAAAATTTAGGGGGAATTCTAGACTTCATGAGAATAAGAAATTCTGATGTTACATTGGCCTCAGTTTCTTCTTCAAAGGATGCATGACAACAATACTAAGACCTAAAAATAAAATATGAAAGAAAACTAAAAGCTGGAGAAGGTAGTATAGGCTTGTCATTCCAGCATTCTGGGAAGCTGAGGCAGGAGGATCACAAATTCAAGTTCAGCATGGGCAATTTGGCGACTTAACAAGACCTTGTCTCAAAATAAAAAATGAAACAAAGGCTGGGAATGTAGCTCAATGCAAAGATAACTAGGTTCAATCCCCAATACGCTCTTTAGGAATGTTCATGCAAAATACTAAATAAATTACAAGCCAGACATACAAAGACTGAAGATGCCAAGAGCGTTAAGTGAGTTAATTGTCCACTGATGCATAACAGATTGTCCCAAGACTTAATGACTTAATTTGCAGGCATTATCTCATAGTATCTGCTCTGTTCTAGAACAGCTGAGCTGGGTGGTGGTCTTGAGGGCTTATGAGCCAAGATGTTGGGTGGGCAGCAGTCAACTTAAGACTTGGCTGGGGCTGGCTGGCAGGCCACAGCTCCTGGCTCCATGATCTCTCCATGGGGCTGCTTAAATGACCTCTGCATGAGTGATCAGTTAAAAGGGCCAGGAGGAAGTGCTGTTCCATCACTTCTACCTTGTTATATTGGTTTGGGGCAATTCACTAAGTCCAGCCCCCAACTCAAGTGGAGAGGAATTAAGCTCTAGCTCACGAAGAAAGTGTCAAACAATTTATAAGCATTTTTACGTCAACTAATGTTCAGTATCCATTTCTGTTTTTTATTTTATTTTTTTGAAAGAGTCTAGCTATGCAGTTGAGGCTGGCCCCAAGCCACTGTGTAGCCTAAGGTGCCTTGACCTCAGGGTGCTCCTTCTCTGTATTGGGGGTTACTGACACGGTTCAACATGTTTGGCTCTCCTGCAAAGATAGGAATAGATGGGTCTTCCTCCTACTAAGTGGTGAAATGTATGCTTGAGTCTAGTGAGTTCTGACATCTAAGAAAATACTTCAGGATTTGCTAGAAGGCTGATCCAGCTATTCTTAGTTTAACTTTTCTGTAGAGATCATGGGTCGGGTGTCACCTCTAACTATGTAAGTAGAGTTCGTATCTTTCAGATAAATGGCAAACCCTGAAGAGTTAAAAGATACCTTTACTGTTTTTCTCTTTGTATAAAGGCTTTGTTTTCTTTCACAATCAGTCTTTCAGCTGGGGCTTTGGAATCAATTGCTTGTTGCCTTCCAAAGGACTGTACTTTGCAGTTCCCTTTTCTCCTAAATCATTTCCTTGTAGAGAGCTGCTGTAGCATCTCTTTAAGACAAGATGGAACAAAAACCATGGTCCTGATACGCATATCCTCAAATTTGGATGACAGATTTGATCACTTGTGTAAGAGGCTGCCTGCCAGATTCCTCCCATAGTGTTATTTTTCTTTTTATAATTAACAAGTAATCTGCCATGAAACTTTAAGACTGTTTAAATAGTATTTTCTCTCCTTAGTTATTTTAGTATCCATTAAAGAGTTTCTGGCTCTACCGTTGTCCTTCTGTACTTATTAATTGTACTCCACTGTAAGGAAGATTTTCTTTTTCCCTATTGTACTTTGTTGCTTATATTTATTCAAGTGGAATCATGCTTTTATTCTTTATGCAGTGCATTACAATCCATTATTATATGAAAGGATTTTTAATCTGAGTTTGGTTTTTTGCAGTGTGTGTGCTAGGTCACAGGTTCTCTACCTTTAATCTCTTCCCCTTAGTTTCTCAGGCCATCTTAGATACCTTTGTTAACGATCTCTCTCCCTGTGCTCCCCCCGCTAAACTTTCTTAGACTAATATTTTCATGATTACTTTCCATATGGACTTGATTTAGTTTATTTATGTAATATTGTAGGAACAGTCTCATGTTTTTATGTGCTGTTGTTAACTCACATATTATGGATTAAGAGGATCTTGCTTCATGTTTCTAAACCAAATCAAGTGATTCAGATTAAGTATTTCTCTGCTCACCAGCTGCAGAGTTTGTGAACAGAGTTGTCTACCTTAAGAATCCAGATTTTGAATTTGATAATCTTCAGGTTTAACAAAAGAAATCTTGTCTGAGTAAAAGATGAGAGAGATAACAAAGAGTGGCAGCCAGTCTCTTCCTCCCAATTTTTTGTTGTTGTTTGTTTTCTGAGACAGGCTTTCACTATGCAGTTTAGGCTGGCCCTGAACTCAACTATGTAGCCCAGGCTGGCCTCAAATTCAACAGTGATCCTCCTGCCTCAGCCTCCTGAGTGCTGGGATTACAGACATGTGACACCATGTCTGGCAAAACTTTTATTTTTTTAGTTCTTCCCCCAAATTTAACTAGGAATCAGCACTGTAACTGCAGGAAAGAGCCATCCATCAGAAATAGGATCCCAACCCGTCTTAGAATGTTGTATCTATAAGAGTTCAGCTATTCAACAGATGTCTCTTAAGGCTCTATGATGAGTCCTTGTTCTAGGAACAAACAGCAACCAAATAAGTAAAATAATGTATCAGCTGGTGTTAAATACAAAGAAAATCCGGGCATGGTGGCGCACTCCTCTATTCCCAGCACTCAGGAGGCTGAGGCAGAAAGATCGTCGCAAGTTGGGAGACCAGTCTGGGCTACAAAGTGAGCCCAAGGCCAGCCTGAACTGCATAGCAAAACCCTGTCTCAGAAAAGACCAGATAAGTAAATAAGAAAACAAAACAAGATTTGGGAGATAGATGTTACAAGTGCTTTTTGAAATTTATTGTTTTGAGACAGGTTTTTGTTATGTAGTCAGGCTGGCTTCAAACTTAAAATTCTCCTGCCTTAGCTTCCCAAGTTTTGTGCTACCACTGCTGGCTGAGGTGCTCCTTTTTTAATGGAAAGTGGTTTAAAAAAGATAAATGGTAATACCAGTCAGTATCTGAAAAGCCAGCTGAACCACACCACAAGGAGAGGGTAGAGTCAGAGGCAGAGAGAATTTCACAGGTAAAGCAACAGCCAATCCAAGACTGCAGAGAGGCAGAGCCTAACGAATCTGAATCTTGGGCCATTGCTATGTTTAGAGATCATAGGAAGAATTAACAAAGCAGAAAGCCCTTCGTGACCTAGAAAAACAAAGAGGGAGATACTTGGAAATCAGCTGAAGAAGCTGTTTCTAGGAGGAGGCAGTAACTAAATCAGATTTTGTTGATGAGGTAGACGAGGGTGGAAACTCAGATTTGGGAGGCGTTTCTGTGGAGCGGTGGGGACTTTAAAGTTTGAGACACAGTAGGATTTTGTGTTCCAAAGGGGAGTAGAAAAGTGGGATAGATCCGTAAGAGTAGTCAGTATGGGAATGAAAGGAGAAGTTTTTAAAGTTGGAAGAGATGAGTGGACATTAGGAGGCTGATGGCTGATGAGGTCCCAGCAGATAGGAAACAGTGTTGATGTGGAAGATGAGGAGAGTAGCAGGGCAGGTGTAAAGCTTTGAGCACATGTGCGATGTGGTGCATGGGGAGCCTTCCCTGCTGGGAACGAACAGGGATAGTAACCCAGGGTCAGGAGGGAAGGCACACTACACCAGAGCGAAGTGCAGTAGGGAAGCCAGGAAAAGTAAGTGGGCCACCAGGAATTCACTGTGCTTTTGCTGCTCTTTGGTTTCTCTCCTTGCTTGTGGCATTTGTAGATCTCCTTTCTCTGACCGTTACCTTCTCATTAAGAAAAGCCTTTTGGGGGGGGGTGTTATCCTTGAGTTAGTCCATTACTCCCACGTTCCTAGAATTCAGAAAAAGATTCTTTGAAAGAGCTTTGAGAAGCCTTTATGTTAAAGGGGAAAAATATACATAACAAAGTTTTTAACATCATAGTTGAAAGTGTCAGGATAAGCGGCCCATGCTAAACTGTAACTATTTTGAATGTCTAGGAGAATCCTCTAGTTTTTTAAGTGCCCACAGATAAAAGACAGAAGTACTCACTCAGTAAATAAGCATACTTGAAAATATCTATGCTAAAAAAAGAAAATATGCAAAAAAAAATACTTTTCCTATTGTCAAAGGAAAGTTGATGTATTGTAAAATCCTCAAGGAGTTAAAAACGCCTACATAATGAAGTGTTAGCTTTTCCCCAGTTTTTCTTCACCCATCCTATGTTGCAAAGAGAACCACAGTTACTAGTTTATAAAACGCTTCCCAGGTTTTTCTGTGTATCTTTATATTTGATCATTTCCTTCTACCTTAGCTGTATGATCTGGTTTCCAAATAGAATTAAATAAAAATTGCCATCTGACAACATTGATTTCCAAGTATTTTAAATCCATAGGCTTAATAAATGCATGTAATTTAAATTATGCAGATTAGTACAGCCTGTCTCAGAATGAATACTTAAGGAAGACAGGGCATACACCTTTGTTTCTAAATTAAATGTTCCTGTGATACTGAAGTAATGAAATATATAGGTCTTAGGTTTTGACTTCTGGGTTTTCATGATCACTAATCAGTGACTACAGTGCCATTTTATAGACTATTTGATGAGATCTGGATTTCGGTTGAGTATATTCTTGGATGTTTTTATAGGAGAATGAAGTACTAAGAGAGAAGTGTGAATCTGTGGCTCGCAGTTCCTGCAAGGACAATGAAGAAACAGCATCAGCTCATGAGCAATCACTGCAGCAGCACAATAATGAGAATAAGAACACAACAGCAGATAGACTTGACCAAGAGGTAGCAAAGACCACTGAATCTAGAAATGAGGTAAGTACTGCACATAAGAACAACCCAGCCTTGCTGTTTCCCTTCTACGCAGATTTTGTGGCATTGACAGAGTATGGAGACAATTTTCTATGTAAGTATGCTGTGTTGGTGAATTTAACGTAGGAGAAAAAAATATATAAAATTATGTAGTAGTAATTGGACTTTCAAAGGAATCAGCAATTGTTTTCTCTGATTGAACTCTGAGAATTTTGTGCATACAAACACATCTCTCTCCAAGAACTTGCTAGTAGGTTTCACAAGTTCTGCTTGCCAAGATAAGAGATAAAAGAGATGACTGGCATTCTTAACCCAGAGATCCTTAAACAGCTACCTGAGAAGCAAACAGCTGGTCAGGTCCAGGATCACAAGCTTGGGCTCAGATCATTGAGTCTGCCATGGCTGTGGCCCAAGCCAAAGCACTGGCTTCCAGGAGCCCATTTTGTGCCTCTGGCCTCTGCTAAGAGGTCAGCCCAGTGGGTCACGTCCTTGGCTCCTTGTTGTCCAAGCACCCTTTTTAGCCCAGAGAGGAAAAGAGAAAGATGAGCTCCAAGAGCCAATGAGTGGATTCTCCCTAAGCCTGTTTGTCCCCTTCTTTCACATGGACCCTACTCTGGTTTCTGTTCAGCCCTGCTGAGATTTTGCTCACTAACCTGGCACGAAAGTGCTCCAGAAACAGGACTAGAGACTCCAGACTTTTAACCACTTGGTACTTCACCTGCGAGGAGCATCCTTTGCAGGCCTTCCCCTGATGGTTCTCTTCGACATGCCGTTTCAGCATGTCTTCTCCCCAGAAGGTAGAGTTGGGGCTAAGCCTTGAACACCTTTGGAGGGCAGAGAACATCATGCCTGGGCCCTTATCAGACTGCCCATCACCACTGTAGTCTGCTGTGTAATGTGATATCAAACATTACTTAATCTTATGGAGTAAAATCAGAAATAGCTTTGTTCTCTTTGCCTACTTTCTTCTGTCCCTTCCAGCATGTTCTAACCTGTACCAAGGGATCTAGTTCTTCCCTGCACCGTAGGTGACATCTAGGGCAGACCCCATTATTTCTAGATTCTCAGATTAAAAATCCCTCAATCATCGTAGTACAATTGACAAGGATACTATAGTGTGATACTTGGTGGGGGGTGCTTCTGGGGATGGAATTCAGGGCCTTGTGCATGTTAGGCAAGCACTCTGCCACTGAGCTGTATCCCCAGCCCATCCAGTGTAATTCTGAAAAACTTAAAACTAAAATTCAGCTGCTTCCCGTCTCCTCTGTGGCACTTACAGGGCTGAGTAGTGTGGAAGAGTATGTGGAACCATGTGTTTCCCCAGTTTGTCTTTCCCCACTGGTTAGGCTGCCTTCTCTGAGTGTGGGAGTATCAGTCATAATTACCCAGGAAAGGTATTGTTTGATGAGACTCAACCCCAGGATTTTTCCCTTCTCTTGTCTGTAGAACATATTTAAAATGGTTAGATACATAGTTTCAGTTTAGAGGGTTTTGTAGGTTCTTTGGGGACCCCTGCCTGATAGCTGAGTTACTCATGGTAAGGACAAATGCCTCCCTAGTCCCAGCTGATCCTTTAGGATTCCTGAATATTCAGTGACTTGCGTCCTTTTCCAGATCACCTTCTCAACCATTTGGCAGCTGCCTACCACATGGTGCTGGACACATGCGCTTCACATCATCAGTTTAGTCCCTTTGCCTAACTGCAGCCCTTGCTTGGCCTTTTGCGTCTTGCCTTTTGTGTTTCTCAAGGAAATTACTTTGTCGGCAAACTACGGAATATATACCAAGTTTTACGTGGTTTTGAGACCCTTTGAGGCATTTCCCAGGTGAAACAGGTAGAGAATTCACCATATTTTCATTCCTAACCACCCCCAGCTTCAGCCTTTTCATAACTTTCAGGCTCAGCCTAGCATTTTACTAAAATGCAGACGTGTATGGCCCATGTCTGTGCTTTTCCCCAGCTGGTATTCTCCCTGCCCTTCTAACTTATGTAGACTTTGTTTCCTCACCTATGTACCATATCAGTGTCCACTGTCTGTCTTAGAAATACTGAAAGGTTTTGAAAAGGGCATTATTTCAGCTCACTTTCCTGAGTTCCCTACAGTTACTTTTGAAGGAAAGGATGTTTTTTGCTACTGCTTACTTTTTTTCTTCAGTGTATGGTATGCCTTTGCCTTTACTCCCTCTTTGGCTCCCCAGAAACGTTTTCTTTTGTTTGAATTATCTGTAGTTTCATTCACTACTACACACTTAGTAGCAACACTCATTAAATATTAAAGATAGATGACAATTGGAGCTTTCTTGGAGAGGTTAAAATATAATTTGATATAAGGCATACATCAGATTGGATGGAAGTTTCAGGAAACACATTAATTACTCAAAGCAGGGTATTAACGTGTTTTGAGTAGGTTCAGCTTCTCGTTAACCTGGTTCCTATGTTGTGTTGTATCCATTGTTTAGTTAGCATTTACATACCACCTTTGTATGCTGCAGACTACACATTACATATGGTATTTCACAATATTTTTGCTGGCCCTTTTGATAAGATACTATTTGGTAGATGCTTTCAGTTAAAGAAAACAAATGAAATGTTAAATCACTGAATCACTGGCTATTGTATTTTGCTGTCCCCTATATAGGTCTATACTTGAATTACAGCCAGTTAATGAATACATAATATATGTAGGCCAACTAGTCTGAAGAAATTTAAGTTTCATGGGTTCATGTATTAAGCTGTTGCTTATAAAATGAAATGTGTATCTACCAAGTTCTCAGGACATACTTAATGGTCTGCATTTAAAATACAATCAATTCTTGACCTAAAGTGGAACTGTATGTTCCTATTTTATATGAAAATTAGGAAGGATTACAAAAGGTTGAATTTCTCAACAATTAAATCAGACTGAACCGTTTGGTTTTGGCGGTGCAGGTCCAGCACTACCACCACCAGCACCAATCCCTTTTGAGATGAGGCTCAAGTGTGGGATCTTCTTGCCTAAACCTCTCATAGTGCTCTCATTACAAGTGTGGCTCACTCTGCCAGGCTGATTTTTTTTTTTTTTAAAACATGGTTCAGCTGTCCAAATTTATGTAAGATCTGTTCTCCTGAAGGAAAAAGGGGAAAAAAAAACCCCAAGCAATTAGATTTTAAAATGGCCAAGTTCTGTGAAACCAAGTATCTTAAAATTATTCTCTGATTTCTCAGGTATAGTAGACAGGAATATGTGTCACTTACTCTTTGTAAACAGAATACTTTCCAATTAAAATCATCAAATACATAGAGGGGTCACCCTGATGAGATTCTGAAGAGATTTGAAGGGACTGAGGTTAAGCAGGTTTGTGAAGCTATGACCAACCACCATTTATTTATACAGCAGAAAATCTGAAGAACAACTCGGCAAGAGCTGGAATTGATCCCTCTATAAAAATGTGGCTTTTTAGGGAGTCACTATCTCTTCATCCTCCCGTCTCTCACCTTCATCTCCTGCGGGGAACCACCACCCAACCCTAGGCTGTAGAGCCTGGTGGGATAGGCTTGACCCCTTAGCCTTCCATTTTTGGGGCATTGAAGGAAACAAGCAAAAAATTAAAAACATCTTAGGCTAGCCTAAAGCACAAACCTCTAAATTCATTTACACAGAACTAGCCCTCATAGCCAACAATTCCATGTTTTAAGGCTTTTTCAGCAGATAAGGCCATTTATATACTTACTATAGATTTTTGATGATCTTCTCCAGTGTCATGTGTAACCATCAGCATATTTTGGTCAGTAGTTGGTCAGGGACTAAGCCCAAATTGAGGACCATTAACAGAATAGAATGCTTCTGAAATTAAGAAACAGGGCTGGGGGTTTAGCTCAGCGGTATGCAACATTGTGTTTGATCCTCAGCACCAAAAAAAAAAAAAAAAAAAAAAAAAAGAAAGAAAAAAAAGAAACAAGGATTCTGGGGCTGGGGGTTTATTTAGCTCAGCAGCCTAAGTGCCTGTGTTGGATCTCATCACCAAACAAAAAACAAACACACACACAAGAACTTTTAAATAGTAATCCAGTTGGCCAAGAAGCCTGTTATGTACTCAGATGTTTAATTTTCTAATTAAAGAAGAGCAAAAGAAATTTGTCTTTTTCTGTTTTACCGGTACCAGGGATCGAACTCACAACCACACACTTGCAAGGCAGGTGCTTATGCCACTGAGCTAAATCCCCAGCCCCGAGCAAAAGAAATTTTACCAGTTTAACTTGAATAGTCCTGTAGCATGCAGACATCTGGAAAGTCTAATGTAATATGAAAAACATGGCTTTCATGTAACATGAGAAACACAAGAACCCAGGGTATTCAGCAGAAAAGACAATATATTTGTATATATACACATACACTCTTTCACCAGGTCTGACTCAAAGGGAAACCCTAAAATAAACACTTAAGGGAAGGAGTAATGAACAGAACAAGAGTAACTCATTAGAGATTATGAATTCACAAGATATGCACACACACCAAAAATGTTGAAACCTTTAAGTGAATTAACAGAACTCAGAAGAAAAGGACTTCTATAGATATGAGAAATGAAGGAACTCAAAGGTAGAATTTAAAGTGATTGGGCTAAAGTTGAACAGTCTCAAAGAATTGGAACCAGGTATCATTGGAACCAGGCAGAGACTGAGTTAGTGGATAGGACACAGATCTCTCAAGCCTATACCTGTGGGAATGTGGGCTTCTTACCTAAAACTCAGACTGTTTTAAGGCTCTTATGTTCAGGAAACATGGACTGGGACAACTATTGACCTGTTTAAAATCATAAAACTCAGGCCTCAAAATTAAATATAGGGTCTGAATCTGTACCACAGTCACCATGAGGAATCTTCAGGACAAAAATCTAAAATTGTAGAAAGTGATTAAATATTTGTACTTGGACAGAAAAACATAAAACTGTTAAGTGCTCCCAACTAACGTCCTCTGAGCTCTTTAAAAAATTGTGTTTAAGAAAAAAATAAGGCAAAAATGTACTGTCATACAGGGGTGGTAGCATGTCTATAACTCCAGCACTTGGGGAGGCTGGCGCAGAAGTCAAGAATTCAAGGTTAGCCTGAGCTACATAGTTAATCCCAGGCCAGCCTGAGTTACGGACATGGTGATATATGCTTGTATCATTCCTGGCATTTTAGGAGGTTGATGCATAAGCTCAAGCCCAGCTTTAGCAACTTAACACAGGCCTTAGATTCCTTCTATATAGTACTGCAAGTACCTACCATGACAAAATCCTGATAGGAAAAAAGTAATCACTCAAGTAGAAGCGGTAAACAGCAGATTAGAAATGACTAAAGAAAAGGGAACCTGGGCATGCTAGTGCATACCTGTAATAGTAGCACTTGAGAGTAAGGCAGAAGGATCACCAGCTTAAACCAGTGTGGACACAGTGAGTTAAAGTCAGCCTGAACTAAGCAGTAACCTATCTATCTAATAATGAAATGAAATGGAAGGAATAGGTTGACCCAGATGTACTTAATGGAAAGGATGTAAAATATGAAAGAAAAATCTTGTTACTCCTCAACAGAACTCCTAGAAACAAACGAGAAAATGAGAAGGAACTCATTAGTAAAATATTTTCAGAACTAAAATGGTCCTTGGGGCTGGGGATTTAGCTCAGCGGCATAAGCACCTGCCTTGCAAGCAGGTAGTCGGGAATTAGATCCCCAGTACCGATAAAAATTTAAAAAAATTTTTTAAAAAGGTCCTTACTCCATATTTAGACAAAATAAGAATTGCAGAGTAAACATATAAGCAAATTAAATCTTGGACGTAAAGTGAGAACTAAGAAATCTAAAGCTCCCCAAGGAAAAACAATCATTGACAGCAAACTAATTTAAAATGCACTGAGGACTGAGGAAGAGTCTTAAAACCTGGCATTTCTACTAGTGTGAAGGGAAAGAAATTCTGGAGTATAGAAACTGAAGTTATTTTTCAGACCCTTTCTAAAGTAGTTAGTTCAATAAGCTAAACCCTGAAGGCAGGAATTAGATGAACCAACCAATGATGAGCAAATTGAAACATTTGGATAAATAATTTTGTAGCTAGTGGAGCGGGAGGGGCTGGTTTAGTCACCAATAGGCAAAGTAAAGTGGAATTAAAAATAGTAACCAGATATTACAGACATTGGTTAAAGCAAAAAACAATGGGAGTTTGGAGTGTTTGGAGTTAAAGGTCCTAATAAACATTTTTTGACTATGCATATTAAAACACCAAGAATATACAGATTGAAATAAATTGTCCAGCATGTAGGTTAAGACCTAAGTTGCCTTTAAAAGCCTCAATCACTCGTCTAAAGAGTGTATTTTTTCTCCTAGAGACACCTAAATGGAACAGACACATCTTTCTCCCTGGAAGACTTGTTGCAGCTTCTTTCATCACAGTCTGAATATTCTCTGGAGGTAATTATGATCCTAACTTTTGTCCTTATAATGCGACAAAATATTTATGTGACTATAATCCTCATACTTGGAAGACACAGCAGGCTTGATATGTAATGCATTTAATATCAAGTGAGGGTCTCACTATGCAGTTCAGGTTGGCCTTAAAATTCATCCTGTAGGGGCTGGGGATTTAGCTCAGTGGCATAAGCGACCTGCCTTGCAAGCAGGCGGTTGTGAGTTCAATCCCTATTACCGATAAAAAGTTTAAGAAAAAAAAAAAAAAAAACCTCACCCTGTAGCCCAGACTGGTCTCAAACTTGCAGTGATCCTCCCGTTTTCAGCCTCCAGTGTTGGGATTACAGGTATGCTCCATTACACTTTAAAGAATTCAGAATGTATATCCTTCCTTACAAATAACCATCTCAAAGATTATGAAACATGTCAAAATACCACTCATATGAAAGCAAAATGATAAACATTTGACAAGACTACAGCATTTTTTTTTGTCTTTTTCATTTTTATCAGTACTGGGGATCAAACTCACGACCGCCTGCTTGCAAGGCAGGTGTTTATGCCGCTGAGCTTAAACCCCCAGCCCCAAGCATTTTATTTTTGTGGTAGCATTTGTCATGAGTCACACTTATAAATTAGTAAATAGGAATTACATTTAATGAAATTCAACTTTAATACCAGCATAATGATTTAACCTTTCCCCACATAGTGTATTGGTTTAGGCTTATAGATTATATCATCTATATTCATTGCACATTAGTATGTAGAACCATTTTTGAAATAAGCCTCTGCATATTTAAAGTGCCTTTCACTTCTTTTTCAGGGCATTTCATTGGAAGATACTTCATCTTTTCCAGGTACCATCAGTGAGAGTATGAATGTAGTAAACTTTAGCCAAGCAGTAAGTCATGATGTCAATCTTCATGAAGCCATGTTGCTGTGTCCCAATAACACATTTTTCAGAAGAGATCCACAAGAAGCATTTCTGCAGCTCAATGCTCAAGCCCTTCCTGATACTAATCTGACAGTATTCCACTCACCCGTTGACATTCAGATGTGTAATCTAACAAGCCAAGACCTTCTGTATGGCCTTGATGCGAACACATTCGATGAGATAAACTTAATGTCATTGGCTGTGGAAGGTGGTTTTGATCCAATGCAAGTTTCTGAACTTTTTGAAGAACCAGATTCTGGACTTATGTTAAATTTAAGTCACAGCAACACATCTATCACCAAGCATCATTCTCCTTTATGTAATGAAGGTGCTATAGGCTATACTAGTGACCTTGACAATGTTTCCCAACATCATTTGGAGGGGGCTGTTGGTGGTTATTGCCCACAACCCAGTAAACTTGGTCACATGGATCATAGATACCAATCAGCTTTTCAAGAACTATTTCATCAAGTGTATCATAACCATACTTACCACTTAAAGCCACCTATATCAGACCCCACTAGTGAATCTTTTTCAAAGTCTGGGAAATCACAGAAAATGATTAGGTACTTCAGTGACACAAGCAGAAACTTGAGCCGTGATGAACAGCGTGCAAAAGCTCTGCATATTCCCTTTTCTGTTGAAGAAATTGTCCGCATGCCTGTTGATTCTTTCAACAGCATGTTAAGCAGGCACTACCTGACAGACTTGCAAGTCTCAATGATGCGCGACATCAGACGAAGAGGGAAAAATAAAGTTGCTGCTCAAAACTGTCGTAGGCGCAAATTAGACAGAATTTTGAATCTAGAAGATGACGTATGCAACTTGCAAGCAAGAAAGGAAACCCTTAAGAGAGAGCAAGCCCAATGCAACAAAGCTATTAATACAATGAAACAGAAACTACACGATCTTTATCATGATGTTTTTAGTAAATTGAGAGATGACCAAGGTAGGCCTATTAATCCAAACCAGTATATACTTCAGTGCAGCCATGATGGGACTGTTTTGATTGTACCAAAAGAACTGGTAGCCACAGGCCAAAAAACGGAAACCCAAAAGATAAAGAGAAAAAATAGAAGTTGAAGATAGGTCAGTTCTTATGGTCATAAATCACTCTCAATAAATGTCCAGGACTCAAGAGGTTGTAATTCTGGCAAGTTGAGGGGAAAGCCACTTTTCACTTTCATTAGGGCAGCGTGCCACTTCTATAGCAGCGTAGACACTGGAGCTATATTTGAGCTGTATTTTTAATTCACTTAAAACACACAAACAATTTGTGAACATTTAACTTCAAAGGTTTAAAATTTTTTATTTGAACTTCAATGATTTTCTAGTAATGCAGTTGCACTAATGTGTCCCTTCAAATTAAGACCACCTTTGTAAGGACAACCTCATATCCCAAGTCTTCATTGCATAAACAAACTAAAGCAAACCATTTAAAGGGGAGCGAAAAGTAACGTTTTCTAATAGAAAAACTAAAACCATAATAGATGTTTAAGTAATCTCAGAAATACTGGTAAAAACTCCCATTAGTCCCCACAGTTCTATAGAGATCCATGAATTTCTGTAACTTACATGGACACCCATTTATGAACTTGTGTGCCATCAATGTGGGTAGCATGACCATAAGAGAATCAAGTCTATCGTTTCTGAAAAATGTGAAACACCATGTACATATAAAAAGGTACTACCTTTGGTTACACAAATACAGGGTTTATTCAGCCGGGCAGTTTATTCCACTTTTATTTTCAAACTCTAGATTTTGCCATTTAATACCTTTAAATACAAATACCACCAAAAGTCCAGTTTTGCTCACTGAACTGTTCAGACCATCACAGGTCTATTTGCTCAACAATGCCTTATACCCTCAAAATTTGTGTTACTACCTGGCAAGGCTATCCAGACTGATTAAAAACAACTCATTTTAGTGAATGTCAAGACAACTGTGTACAAAATCACAATATTGATGGAAACTGGTTTCAATATATTGCACATGGTTATTAAAGTTCAAATTTCACAGTAAGTCACCAGTCATACATGATAAATCTTGAATATCAGAGCCATTTGAACAATTATACTTCTGACCATAAAAAAGTGCAGTTTGTCTACTACCTGAGACCCTACCCTGCTTGGTTCACTAAAACTCAAGGATCCTACAATAGGCACATTTATGTTTAAGTCTATTTGGTACATCAAGATTGCATTTTGTAACAAGCACCCACCTGGATTCCCTTGATATATATTAGTGCTTTTATATTAACATGAAAATTTGCAATCTACAATAAACTCATGTCACAAAACAGCTGGCAAAATGGTGTCAAAGTAAAACCCAGTATAGCGATCCACTCAGTCATTTTCTTCTAGTATGTAGCACATCGAAGTGTCCAAGTGTCTTTCATTACACTTACATGTGGAACACAAGCCATCAATTACAAATCCCTCATCCCAGGATTCATTCCACTTACCTTGCCTAGCTTTTTTTAGTTCAACGCCCTCAAGTGCAAACCCGCCCTGCCAAACTGCAGCCTAAAGCATTAAATAGTCAAAATATGCTGTGTAGAACAGCCAGTTGGATGAGTTCCTATTGCCTCAAAGGGCAGAACATGTATGTGCTTCCAGTGTCTGGAAATGTTTTATTCAAGACTTGGACCAAAACCACCATGACCTTATCTACCCAACAACAACAGGGACTGAAAACCTTGAAATATATGCAATATATGAAATATGAAAACCTTGTATGGGGGGATTTGGGGGTAAGGGGCTTGTTTCACACATTTGTAAGAGGTTTCACAGGAACAAAGCTGCACTCAAAATACCTACAAAGTTGCCAAAGTTTGCACTGGAACACATCACAAAGAGTAGAAATGACTACAACAGTGATCAATGTTGGTTCACATATCTCCAAGGGAGGCCAAGTGCTAATTTTCAAGACATTCCTACATGTAAATTCTCCAGCTTCAAGGTGGCTTTTATGCTAATTTGAGCTTTGTCTAAACCACACAGCTATGATGCCTACAAGTGAATACACACAAATGCAGTAGCAAGTTTACCGGTGATTGCAGACAAAATGCTAGTAATGTTAAACCTGGAGTAAATGTACTACACACCACCCAAGTCATCCCCCTCCTAGGATAATGTCTTATATTACTGCTTCCTGTAACAGAAAAAAACACTTGTGTTCACTATCCAACATTAGCCTCCATAAACCCTTTAGTAAGCCAGTTATTTCACTGTCAACTTCAAGTTGTTCATTTGCAATAGTCCCACTGATTTTAAGAACCAGTATTTTACACCTGTATCAGGCCAATTTTGATTTGCTTCTCCAGTTAACTGTAGAGGCATACACTGTTTTAATCCTACACAAAGTATTTTTCATAAAATACTGCAAGATTTCTGACCAATGTAATTGGTAATAGATACACCTAGAGTTTACAGCATACTGTTACACGTGACTTACCTGAGACCTCATTTTCAAAACCAAAAGAAATTTAATATAGTCAACTGTTTATCTGTATGTTTTAGAAAAGCTTAACAATTTAGCTAACATCTAAAGACAGTTCCCAAAGCTCTATTTTAATAACCACCAATGTTCATATGTAAAATGTAAATTTGTAATTGTAACTGATTGGCATTTCACTGTTCAATCTGATTTTGTCCCAGCACTCTGCACAAGCCAGTTTGTGAACCTCTAGGCTGGTTAAAATCCATCAATTCCAAAAGCCACCACCAATGTCAAAGATATAGCAAACTAGCAGTATTCAAACGCTGAATATACAAATGCATAAAAAATAGCATTTTATTAGGGACAGCAAATAATGTCCACAATGCTTTTTGTCATTTGACTATTAATATTCAAAAAGTGAAATATGCACAGCTTTGAGAAAACTGCTTTAAAAATTTAGGGGATGGCAATCTTGTAGACAGCTGGATATTAATAGAACAAGTTTCACACATTTTATGTGTAAGCATTACACCAAGTATTTGCATATAAAAGTATTTATTTTATAAATTTTATATTTAAAATAGAAATTTAATCTGTCTATTCACAAACCTAACTTAAAACATGATACATTTATCTCTAGCTGATGTTACTTCTTTATACACACTCATTTTTAGTTATCAAGAACCTGTGCTAAAATCAAGTTTTTGTTTTTTAAACATTTCCCTTTAATCTTAAAAAGTGCTTCTTAAATGAAGGCACCAACAAGAACTACTTTCAGATGGTACAGAATTTCTTATTTCTTGAAGACTCTGTGGTTGACCACTTCTTCATTAGTTACCTGCAGCAAGACACCTTCCTGCCAAAGGAAAAAAAAAGTATCTGAAGAAGTTTATCATGTTTGTCCAAAGAACCTAAATAACTTCAGTGGTGGCCTTAGGATCAAAAAGACTCTCTGCTGCATACAAAATAAGCCCTGAATATAACAATTCTGAAAAGGCAGTAAAGCCAGGAGATCTGATAGTACTAAGAAATGAATTTCAGCAGTCAACCTGCAGCTCTGTTTACAATAAGACACTGGGTAACAATTAGCACATTTTAACCTGGCCATTTTATAATGGATATAATACAAGGTTTATAATGTAAGAGCTTTACTTACAAAGTATAAACTATTTCCAGAAAATAGATCCATTTCACCCTACCTTCTGTGAGCCTAATTCTAAATATGTAAAGCTAGAATCAAAGTAATAGAACAGAATGTGCATTTTAATAAAAACCCTAGTTCTCTCAAAATGCTTGACCCATGAAATGTGAACACACAAGAGTGTAATGACAGGAAATCTGATTTAGTCAACTTTCAGCCTAACTTTTACCTACCATTTTACTACCAACACCACTGAAGGAACCAAGAAAAGCTTTATTAATGATCACTTGGCTTGCCTCAGCTGTTGAAATGAAGCACTTTACAGTCTTTGTGGCAGCAGAATATACTTGTCCATGGTTCATATCAATGCTAAAATTCCAGCAGGGAAAAAAATGATATGTTAAGCACCTGAATCTTCATGGAGAGGAAAGGGTGGGAAAGGAGGAAAAAAAAAAGGGAAAACAACCAAAATAATTTTAGGTAAATGACAGATTTGGAAAACAGGGTTTATTAAAAGATAATTCTCTTGAGTTTATAAATTGTTAAACTCAATTTGTAGCTATGTTAAACTACGTAAGAAGCACTATACTGAAAGACCATTGAAGAGTTATTAATTTAATCTTTTAGGAAGGAAAATTAAGAAAGAAAAAGTAAATAAGATCTTACCTAAAGAAGTTTAACTGAAGCTTAGAACTACTTTGCTCTACACCCTCAGCTTTCGTTGGCATCCTTATAAACTACTGTAGTTAAAGCTTTGTAGAAACAGCACAGTTTCTTAAGACTGGCTGAACTTAGTAGCCGTCAAGAGTTCTCTTGTACTAGACCTGTGTCCCTGAAGAGTACCTCGCTGGGGTTATTTCCTTTCCTTGCATTGAAGAAGCAGCATCTAAAAGATCTAAAAAGGTGTTTCTCCTTGCAGAGATATCCCTTAGGTTATCTAGATAATTTAATCCTCATGAATTGCAGACAACACACTTATAACTGACCAGCATTTAATCTTACACAAATGTTGACAACAGCTTTGCAATGGACCTTAATTATACTACCCACTCCTTAACTTATTTAAAATAAAAAGTCTATAATTACACAATTTCCTTTAGAATTATTTTATTAAATCATAAATGTACAACAGCTTCTTAACTCTACACACGCACTTAAATTTTTTAAAGGAAAAACGTTATGTCTTATTACACCATGATCCTGGCTAATAGCTTTTCAAAACTTTGAGAAAAATCTTAAAAAAGGTTTCACATGTCACCTGAAACTTACAAATTTAACATTATCAAAGAAGGAATGCTTCTACACTCTTACAAAGACCACTAGAAAGAAACAACAATTAAAAAGCTAAGAAACTGTCTCAAAGGCATTTTTTTACAATCCTTCCTCCACAGTAAGGTAATGTTATTAAATAATCCAATCCATTCACAAAATGGCTCTCTGCATCTGCTCTGGTGTCTTCTGCCATATCACTGCATATTTATGCATGACTGAGATAAGAGTTTCCTTAACATTGTTATTTCGATAACCTGAAGCTGTTCTGTTACCTCTGGGCTCTCATCCTCTCCTATTTATACAGTGAAGCCTGTTTCAACAGAAGTAAAGAGTAAAAAAAAATAGGTTATGAAATTATCCATCTAACCAGATTTTAAGGAAAGATAACATGATCCTAATAAAGCTTTACTCCTGCAGCTAGGACTCCCAAGATAATAATAATTGTAAAATTCAAAAGCTACTTACCCATGGCAAATAGGAAGAAGCTCAGTATCGGCTCCTTCCACCATAACCCCCACTTCCTCCACTGCCTCCTGGACCATAATTTCCTAGAATGGTTGAGAGAGCACAAAAACAAATTGCTTTCATTTCCCATGATCAGCACAATACTCATTACTTTTATTTTGTAGCCATAACCTTTTACATGCTGCTAACTCCCTCACTTGGTTAAATATTAAAGTGTATGAAAGCGTTTGTTTTTAGTCTTTTAAAAGGCCTTCTACCACCACCCTTCGCTTTTAAAAAGGCATTTAAAAAGAATGTAGCCAACACAAGACTTTTTAATAGTCTTGCTAAAAAAGCATTGTCAATAAGCTAAACAATAGTTTGAACAGGGGTTTGGAATTATGTAACTTTCAAGAGGCTCATTACATACATAATTATACTTCCAACATGCTCAGTAATCTATCTAAATTTAGAGTGATTGCATGTAACTGTAATCCCAGTGCTCAAAAGGCTGATAGAAGATCTCCTTAAATTGAAGCCAGCCTTGGCTATATTGCGGTTCAAAATAAGCCCAACGCGCCCCCCCTCCCAGCTACCCATTAATACAGCTCCCACCTAGTATTCTACTTTTCTCACCCCCAAGAATAACTCCTTCACCACCTCAGACTACCTTTAAACCTCTGTAAAATTTACCTCATTTAAATTTAGACAGGCACATTAGCCTAATGTAAGCATGTTTGAAATGTCACTTTGCCCTTTAAGTCATAAACAAGTCATACAATCACAAAAATTTTAATCTGAAATTTTTAGTTCTAACTTACCTCCACCATATGGTCCCCCCATGTTCCTGCTACCACCAAAATTTCCACTTTTCATTGGACCATAGTTTGAAGGTTGTTGGTTGTAATTTCCAAAATCATTGTAATTTCCACTTCCATAATTCCCTTAAAAAAAAAAAAACTGGAATATCAGCGTAACAGATTTTATTACGCAGAACACAACC